CAAACCGCATTAGAAAATGCTTCTCATGGGGCTCCGCATGAGAAACATTTTAAGCATGCAGAATTGCATGACAACTATGGTGTGGGGACGTTTTTACTCAGGATATCGTTTGTTCCAAACGTACGACGTCCCGAGAGGTTTCTACTCCTGCTCGTCCCAACATTCAAATCTACGTTCTATGAATTGCAAAAGTATCGTACTCGTAGAAATGCATTACAAATTGACTTAGCATTACAAATTAAATTTGTAATGCGGATTTGCCTCAAGAAAAAGATTTGTAATGCATAGCTGCGAAGATTACTACGAGTACGATACTTTTGCACAGGATACGTTCAACGGGTCAACAATTTTCGCTCCGCCGTTCTCCTCCCCGTCGCCCCCGTTTTCGAAGTAGTCGGCCATTTCGTACACCAACGACTGCGGGCTCAAAATGCGGTTCTCCGCGGAAGAAAATCCGGTTTTGTCGCGGTGCTTGAATGGGTAACTGTTCTGCTCGAAGTAGGTGTGGAGCACGTTTTTGTACTCGGAGTTTTTCACTTTCTTCTCCAGCCACAGAATCTCCTGCACGAACTCCTTGTCCAAAAAGGGATACCTCGCTTCGATCCCGAACTACGAATTGCAAATATGTCTGGGTCTGGAAGAATGCAACTTGTGATGCTGAATTTGGATTGCAAAAAAATTTGTATTGCACGAGCAGCGAAAGGAGTCTAATTTTTTCTACACGTAAAGGGGATTTGCCATGCGGAATAGGCATCAAGAAGCCCTCAACAACTCTGTCACGCTAGGGCATGCATCACAGACATCATGGCGCCCGCAAAACGTGCATGACAAGTCTCAGAATCTACTTCCAGACCCAGACACTTTTGCATTTGATACGAACGCGCCGCCGACTAATTCCTCCTTCATAATGTAGTCGCGCATGGTCCCGTATGGATTGTAAAAGTGTCTGGGTCTGGAAGGTTGGAACTTGTAATGCTAGCTTTCCATACCTAGAAAATCTGTATTGCATAAACAACAAAAGTCGCAGCCTCTTTTGTAATGCAAAAACGCAGTTTCTCATGCGGATTGCCTATGAGAAAGCGTTTTGGGAAGTTGTCATGCCGAACTGCATTCGAAAGCGTTTTCACCATGCACATTTTAGCATCACAAGATTCCAGACCCAGACATTTTTGCATTTGATATCCCGAGGAAAAAAATCGCCCACGGGAAAATCTCCGCGAGGTTGTCGGGGAAATACCCTGCGATCGTTGACTATCACAGGGAAAAAGTGTTACAGTAACAGTTACACATTTGTTCTTGGAGTTTCTGCATCACAAAGTTGCTCGCCATGGCAGAGAAAACCTGTCATGCGCAGACCACTGTAAGCGAAAACACGAATGAAATGAGGCTGGCAAGCATTTCCTGCATGACAGAGGTTGTCTGTCTTGCTTGTCTTCCATCACAGTGTGTAACTACTGTAACACTTTTCTCTTAGAATATTGACTGCGGGAAAATCTTTGTCTTGTTGAAGCCATAGTCTGACAAAATCTCGTCCGCGCCGGAGCCGGTCAGGTAAACCAGCGTGCCCATCTGCCGCGCCACGCCCATGATCTGCGCCAGCCCCATGGACGCGTCGTCATCCACGACGGTGGTGCGGCCGACGAACTTCCGGGAAAACGCGGAAAACTCGTACGGCTCCGAGCAGGCCATTAGGTAGGTGCGGATCTGCTGAAACATGTTGTAGCTATAGTCGATAATCGTGGCGTAAGCGACGTCCTTGGAAAAAATGTTCCGCTTGCGAATCACTTCCATGTCCTCTTTCCCCATGATCGTGTAGTAGTAGTGCGGAATGCTGTTCTTCGTCAGGGCCAGGTGAATCGCGCCCGCGTCGTAGCCGGAGGAGAGTCCGAGGAAGGGGGGATGGTATCCTGTGTAAAAACGTCCCCACCCCAGAGTTTGAGTTGTCATGCAGAATTACAATCACAGGAAAACTTGTAATGCGCATCCCCACGAGGGGCATTTTCAATGGTGTTATGCAATTTGTGATGCTGTAAACAGGATACTACCAAGGCTTTGTGATGCAGTTGACCTTGCTAACCCGCATTACAGTAATGAAAAAAAACTTGTCATGCGTGACTCCCAAAACTTCTGGATCTGTGTTGCAGAATTCCCTTCTTGACTCTGGGGTGGGCACGTAGTTTTTACACAGGATAGATGGAGGGAGGTTTTCACCCGTTTGTGGATCGCCTTTTCAAACGCGGCGATCGCGTCTCGGGTGTCCGTTTTGAACTGCCGGAGGTCGATATGCGAGCGCAAAACCCCCCTGCTCCCCCTCATTTGTAATGCAAAAAGCTCAAAGCCACCTCGTGCCCCCGAGCACTGTCTGCATGACAAGTTTCCGAAGCTTAAACAGTGTACACTCTGCACGTAAAGTTGTCTTGCGGAAGCTATATTTCATCATCTGCCGCTGCTTGTATTGCTCTGCATGACCTTACAAATCACGAGAAGAGGGACGTCGAGTTGTGCCCTCTCATAGTCGAATTCGAACAGCGGAAAGTGGTCCAGCAAACGGAGGTTAGGCAGGCCTTGATGCTGAGATTCTACTTCGTGTCGTCCTTTGTCAACATTATCTGCTTGTGTGTCCTCTATCGCAAGAAAAAACTGTTTCACTGTGAACTTGTCATGCATAGAATGGAACACAGAACTATTTGTGTTGCTACACCTGCAAGGCAGTCAATTTTTAAGCGTGTTTCACCTTGGAAAGCGCGCATGGCAAATTTTCTGTGTCATGTGTAGCAATCTTGTGATGCGGATCTTGCAAAACCATCACAGTGAAACAGTTTTTTCGTGGGATATCCTCGTCGACGAGATGAATGGTTTCGTCCTCGTCTCTATCAAATGCAAATGTGTCTGGGTCTGGAAGGACGCAAGGTTTGTCATGCACAGTTTGCATGACTCCTGACGTCTGTTATGCATGCCGTAGCATCGCAGATTCTGTGAGGGTTTCCTCATGCCTATACCGCATGAGAAATGCCCTCTCGCCGTGGCATAAACTCGAGCTCTTTTGCTGTTCATGCAATACAGAATTTTGTAGTATCCAAATGCAGCATCACAAGTTGCAACCTTCCAGACCCAGACAAATTTGCGATCCATAGTCTCGAAGGGTCTTCGTGTGAGGACCAGCAGCAGCTGCAGTTTCTGTGCCAGGTTCTTGTAGTCCCCCACCCAGATCATGAAGATGATGTTCTTGCTGATCAAAAACTTTTGCACTCCTGCTAAACTGTGCGTTTGTGTATGGATTGCAAAAATGTCTGGGTCTGGAAGATTGCAACTTGTCATGCTAACTCCGAATCATGCAGAAATCTGTGTTGCATGAGTGCCAAAAGCTGTCCACT